TTTCCATTTTTCTAATCTATGGATTGTATTAAGAAGCATCAAGTTTCTGAGGTAAGCCTTCCCCACCCCTCAAGATTTGGGACAAATGAACTTTTAGAATAAAAGCAGGGAAAAAATTAAATTAGAAACAAGTTGCCTAATTAATCTTGATTTTGGAGTTTTGAACATGTATACATTTGAGCACCAAACTATATGTCTCAAAACTATAAAACATACAACACTTGAGGAATATTCTATTTTTCCAATATCATCACTTTCTTATTTTGTCACATTAATTAATGAGAATAGTAAAACATGAATCTAATTAGATAATTTTTCTTGTATTACTAAGTCAGTCACAAACAGATGGATAATTTTTTTTCTATTGACTCAATACATTGGTTAAACTCTTTATGGTTGCTTTCATATTTTTATACCTCTTGTTTAATACTTGACAAATTTACTAATGTTGTTTTATGCCCTTGAGTTGATCTGAACCCTGCTGCTCTGTCCTGAGCCAATCTCACTGACTCTAACACAGCTACTCCAATTACCCCAATTACTGTGTTAATCCATTTCATCCCAGGAATCTTCCTCTCCTCTGCTGTCCCTCCACCCTTCCAAGCATGATGTCCTCCAAAAACTAGTCCCTCCTGTTGTTGTTTTTATGTGCCATGGAGTCACTTGTGTATAACAGCTCTAAATCCAGTTCTATCCTGTGCCAATCTCATTGTGTCTGACACATCTATATCCCCATTACCCCAGTTATTGAATCAATATCATCGAGGGTCTTCCTCTACTGTGCTGTCCCTCCACCCTCCCATGCATGGTGTCCCTCTCCAAGGACTGGTCCCTCCTTGCAACATGTCCAAAGTATGTCATACCTTGGTTCTTTCTAGAAATAATAATATTTACTGAGTTCCTAAATGTGGTGGGCCTGTGCTCTTATTTACATTTTACATCAATCTTATCAAGATTATTGTTATTGATTGCTGTCGAACTGAGCATGACTCAAAGTGACCTTATGAACAAAAGGCCTGAAGCCTTTTTATAACTGTAGACATTTATCAAAGTTCATAGAGTTTCCAGAAGCATATTGTGTAGGAAGTGGATACACCATTCAAACTAAAAAAAAAAAAAAATCTCATTGCTGTTGGAATTAACTCTTCTTAGCTAGCCATTCATTGATGTTTCAGGAGGCTATAAATCCCACTGGAGGCGACTGTTCATCTTTCTGCTGCAGAGGGGCTGGTAGATTCAAAATGGCAGAGAGGCCCTGCCTACGGGTTAGCAGCACAAGCCCCTACGGACTAGGGTCCCAGACCTCCCCACTAAAGTTAGTATTCTTGCTTTGTAAATAATGCAGTTGAGGTTTAGAGATGCTAAATAACCTGTCCAAGGTATAATAACTGGCTAGTGGCACAGTGAGATCTGAACTCCAGCAAAGCAGCCCAATTTTGCTCCAATTAATTGACCATTACCTGCAAGTGTAGTTTGCATCTGAATTACCTGGAATGACCTCCTTACATAATTTTGAACTTCCTGGCCATAGGTCGGCTTACTTTAAAACAGACATCCAAGCACTTAAAGTTATTTTGATGGTAAGTAGGTTAAATGATTTGAAATGCAAGACTTGTTTTTTTCAGGTCCTAGCTTCTCTGTAAATAATTCATTATTCATTCAGCAGCTATATTCATTGTTACCCGTCAATTCTAGGGCATTGTGGGAGATATAAATGCATAACACAGTCAGAGAAAGAGAGAGAGGGGTGTTTGAGCATGTAAACAAACTGCTATTGACATTTTAAAAAGGTAAAGATTTCTTTAATTGGTATGGATCAGAAAAGGCTTCCTGGTGTATTTCTAACAAAATTTCTTTCCCCCACAGAGGTCGACTCACCCCCTCACCTTTTCCCAGTCACTGCAGAAATGCCACCTATTTCATGAGACTTTCTTTGACTATGGAGAGCTCTGCGGGCCTTGGGGTAGAGAGTTCTACTGTCAACCCAAAGGCGGGAGGTTTGAATCCACCTACTACTGGTCCTCAGGAGAAAGAGGGGCTATCTCCTCCACTTAACAGCTTTTGAAAAGCTTCTGGAGGGTCAGCTATAAGTCAGCTATTATCATCTTACTTGATGGCAATAGGTTGTTGAGTGAGTTCCTTGGCTATATGTTTAAAAATGTCATCCTCTGACATACCCTGTCTTTGTATATTATGTTTAGAATGTTAAATATGGTGGGATAGAGTCTGGAAAAATATAGAAGACCTAATGATTATGGCTCAATTTTACAGGCAATAGTGAACATTTAAGGTTAGAACTTAAAATAATTAACCTTCAAATAGTCTTATTTAATATTTAGTGTTTAATTATTAGGGAGCTTTAGTGGCTTAGTAGTAAGGAGTTGTGTTGCCAACCCCAAAGCAGAGGTTTGAATCCATCAGCTCTGTGGGAGAAAGATGGGCAGTCTTTTCCTGTGGGATTTACTGCCTCTGAAAACCTATCAAATGGTTAGTTTTGAATCTGTTCTGACTTGATGGTACATAAGAACAACATTCAATGATTAAAAAAGAATTCAATTTAATTAAAAATTAAAATCTTTCCATTATAATTCAAAGATGTTTCCAGGTTGTTCCTAAGTTTTGTGGGTTCTGAGCCACTGTGATACAGTTGTTTTTTTCCCCTTTTATTAATCAAACTAGATATGACCTCTGGCCTTTTATCTTTTATGTTGAATTCTGAGCTAGTGAGCTGGAGGAGTTATTCAGAAGCTTGCCCTTCATTGGGATGGCTAGAAATCACCTAGCTAAACATGGCATGACTATAAGCTATTATGAATAGATTCTCACTACAGGGCCCATTGGCAGCATCATGATAGATGGTGAAAAGATTGAGATTGTTAACAGCTTTAATTTGTTTGGCTCCACAATCAAAACTCTTGGTACCAGCAGCCAGGAAATTAAAAGATGAATTGCATTGGTAAAGTCTGTTCTCAGAGACCTCTCCAAAGTACTGAAAAACAATGATGTCAGTCTGGAGACTAAGGTGCTTCTGATACAGGCCATGGTCTTTGTATTTACTTGCTGTGCATACAAAGCTGGACAATGACAAGGGATGATAGAAGGAGGTTTGATGCCTTTGAGCTGTGGTGCTGGAGAAGAGTAGGGACTGCTAGAACAAACAGATTCATCTTAGAGAGGGTGAGACCAGACTGCTCCTTGGAGGCAAGGATTCTAAAGCTTTGTCTGACATATTTTGGGCATGTTGCAAGGAGGGATCAGTCCTTTCAGAGGGACATCATGCTTGGGAGGATGGAGTGACAGCGCAAGAGACAAAGACCCTCGATGAGATAGATTGATTCAGTGACAGGGTAATGGGGGTAGGTGTGTCAGAGACAATAAGATCGGCACAGGATAGAGCAGGTTTTAGGGCTGTTGTGACTCAATGGCACATAACAACAACACTCATAAATATGCTATGCTAACCCAAATTCCCCCAGCCTCATACCAAAAATGCTTGTAGCCTGTCTAAAGTCACAGAACAAGAACGGATAGATGATGTATCAGGGTAGAAAGACACAAGGCACAATGATTAAATTATACTTAAAATATATTATTTCTTATTTCTGTACTTTTGTACTTATTTCTGTGACTTTGTAAAGGTTTAAAGAGGTCTTTGTATTTCTTACCACATTTCACTCATTTATTTTAACAATTAGTTCCCTGTTCAATATTTTGTTCTATGCCATCGAGTTGGAGTCGAATCATAGCTGATCCTACACAAGTTTTCAGAGGCTGTAAATTGCATGAGAGGAGATTATCCATCTTTCTCCCACAGAGTGGCTGGTAGCCTGGTCTGGGTCGGCAGCGCAACTCCTTAATAGAGCCTCCATATCATATATAGACATATTAACTACTGCTTACATATTTAGATGCAACAGTTAATGTCTTTACATCTGCTCTGTTATGCTATTTGACAATGGAAGTATTAAGTAATTAAATAGGGTCTTAGAGACAAAAAAGAATTAATGAAGGTTCTATAAGTGACTTACTTCTACAGAGGAAAAAAGCTTAGGCACTAGGAGAAAGTGGTTGACAAATAAGGGATTCAAGTATATAGAAATTTTGCTTTAGTCTTTTTTGAAATATTTTTTCTTTAGAATATAAAATCACCATGCTAAATTAATCTTTTGACATTGGCAGTACTTTTATCAGGGACAGTAATGAATAGACAGTAATGTTAATTCAAATTCCATAGCCACAAACAATGACAATGACAATATAATAATGATCTTGGGACATACCAAGAATATTCTTCACATTTTAATGATTTACCAAAAAATTAGAAATGTAACTAATTTAATCACACAGAGAGGAGAAAAGGAAAATATACTCAATTATGGACGTGACAAGTCCTTTGGTAACTTTGCTCTTGAGCAGGAGTATATGTTATTATTCACCATGTTTTAGTAAGTTGAGTAATGCAGCTTCCAGTGTAAATCACAGAAAGAAACTAAATGCATTAATGCGAGAATTCATATTCAGAGATTTAACTGTTCACATATATTTGCAACATTGAATTTTTAATAAAATTGTACTGTGAAAAACAGGCTTTCAAACACTTAATAAGTCTCAAATGAAACACTATTTTTCACATAATGGACTAAACTAAACAATAACAAGTTCCCCAAACCAAAACTCATCCCCACTTTAACCTGTCATACCTATTGCCTTTCAGAAAATAAAAGAAATTTTGTTCGCAGCTATTGATGCCACAATACTGAGAACAGAAATTTTATTTATGATGCAGAGAAACAAGTTTTATATCTTATATATGTATTGCAAAAAATTGAGAGCAACTTCCTGGGGCGTCTTGTTGGGATGAGTTCCTGAGATTGCTTCCAAGCTCCATAGGAAAGAGACCAGCGATCAATAAGGAGTGGGAAGTCACAGCAGGTGTGCTATGCATTTGGTATCCATGATAAAAAGAATTCTCAAAAATCCAATAAACATCACAAACTTACCAGATAAACCACCCACATCCATCTTCTTCAGGTTCTTCGCCTCTAGAATAACAACAGTCAGTTTGCCAGCAGTAGGTACATAGCGAAGGGAGAAGCAGATATCACCTAGTTTCTCTTGCTGAAAAAACCAATAAAGAAGAAGTAATGAATTTTCAAATAAAGTTGAATATACATTTGTACATCTACATTGCAAATACACAAGGAGAGGGTTAGGAAAGTTACACTTTCCTCTCCTCCTCCTACTAGTTTTGCATTGGGGAAGTCTGCTGTCAGAGACCTCCCCAATATACTGAAGAGCAATGATGTCAGTCTGGAGACTAAGGTGCGCCTGATACAGGCCATGGTCCTTGCCATTACTTGCTATGAGAGCTGAACAATGACTAGGGATGAGAGAAGGAGAGTTTATGCCTTTGAGCTTTGGTGCTGGAGAAGAATATTGAATATATTGAATGGACTGCTAGGAGAACAAACAAGTTCCTCCTAGAGAGGGTGAAGCCAGGCTGCTCCTTGGAGGCAAGGATTCTGAAGCTTCGTCTGACATACTTCAAACATGTTGCAAGGAGGGACCAGTCCTTAGAGAGTGCCGTCATGCTTGGAAGGGTAGAAGAATGGCGTAGGAGAAGAAGACTCTTGAGGAGATGGATTGATTTGTCACTAGGTGTGTTGGAGCCAGTAAAATTGGCACAGGATAGAATAGGGTTTAGGGCTATTGTACAAAGGGTTGCTATGAGTCAGAAGTGATTCGACAGCACACAACAACAACAACTAGTTTATTTACAAAATTCAAATACAAATTTGAACACATTCTTTCAATTTCCCTCACCCCTCACCCATCAAATTGTACAACCCAATGATTAATCCCCATTTCCTCCTGCACATCCACATCCCTCTGCTTCCATCCTCTCCCACCCCTCCTGGATCCTTGTACTCACTCTACAATAATGAGGTGGTTTGTTTTTTTTTTTTCTTACTTTAAAAACCATTAGTTCTATAAATTGTATAAATGCTAGTTGCATAAATTGGCATTTATGCAATGATCTTTCAGTCACTAAGAATTGTGAAATGGGTTCCTTTATTTTGCTTATTTCCTTTGAAAAAGAGTTTGAGACTTTCCCCCATTTAAACTATGAGATATTGTTGTTATGTGCCGTCGAGTCGATTGTGACTCATAGCAACTCTATGTACAACAGCTGAGATATTACATCTGCCCTAATTTTCTACACTAGAAAGTTCCTTTTGCATAGGTTGATTGATATTTCTTGGGCAAACTGTAAACAATTTCATTTCATTTTCTTTATCTAGCTCTGAGCTGTATGTAGCCCACCATGTGATTGGTATGTACTTTGCAGGGACTGTCTAAAAGGTAATTTTCATAAGGTGAGCAATAGCTTAGTATGCAAATAAAGCATATATCCTCTACTGAGAGGGGATTGGTCAGTTTGTGGGCCTACTGGAAGTACCATGCCTTGAAATTGACAAAGAGTTTGTATATTTAAGGAGCCAATGACACAAAGATTTTCGAAATAGAAAGGAAAACACCAAAAAGAAGCTAAAAGAATGATGAGAAAGGAGAGACAAAAAGAAAGAGGTGAAGAGTTTCTAGTTGAAACATGGATCAAATCTACAACACAAAATTTGACAGGCACAGAATGGATCTAATAGTAGTGCCAGTGATGAGAGAGGGAAGTACTAAGAAGACCCAGCCCTCAGGACAGGTGGTATGTCTTTAAACCTTATTGGGATGATCTCGATTTGTACTATCCTCTTAAAGTTAGACAGGTTCTTAAGCTAGCACTATCGTTACCACCCTTTTACAAGAGTCCATGTCAGCTTTTAAAAAGTCCTTTCACATTCTATTTTTAACATTTAGTGAAATAAATCTATAATTCAACAGCAAAGGAAATGAGATCAAGTCACCTTTCATAGAGATTTTATACTTGATGAGTACATGGCAAAGCTGTTTGTAAAATTTCACAACTTTATTAAAGAGCTTTAAAAAGAGCTCAATATTTTTTAAAAGTAGATGGAAACTTTATAAATTTTTGTTTTTTTCTAGTTCATCTATATCTATTCTTTATATAGGGTATAGAGAAAATAATACTTGTATTTTTGTTCCATTGAATTGTATTTGCTGATGACATATAACAAAGTATGTTTTTTCCAGATGGATAATTTTAGTTTTAGTAATTTTAAGTGAGATATTAAACTTTTTCCTTATTTTAAAAGTTATAGGAATCTTGAGAGTAGGTTGGAAATGGAATCACATAGCTATATAAAGCCAGACATCACTGTTGTAATTTCATTGATGCTATATTTGAGACTTAAAAACATTCATCAATTCTGAAATAAGGCAATTTTGAACAATCAACTCAGAGTTTAAAATGATGATAACATGTAGAACTTTTACCTTTTAATTTTTTTTCCATGTGCTCATATTTGTTCTTTTCCTTTACCTTGAGTGCTAATCTAGGATTACCAAGGAAGTCCCACATTATTTTGTTCAACATGGAATTTGTACTTGTGTACACACACACACACACACACACACACACACACACACACACAAACACACACACAAGGAAGAAGAGTATCATGTTGCTTAAAGAATATTCCTCAGATGCTGGAAACTACAGAATGCTTTCCAGCAGGAAATAATCCCTGGAAAATCAAGGCTGATTTCTTATTGTCATTTTTACCCATAATGTGAATTTTTATTTGAAAAGAAGGCAGTAGTTAGGTAAGATTTCTGTAGATGTCTGCATAATCTTTCCTAAACATAATAAGATATCATGATTGCCAAGAAAACAAATTGGTTTGTCTTGGAGAGGGTGAAACAAAGTTTCTCCTTGGAGGCTAGGATTTTGAAGCTCTATCTCACTTTGGGTATGTGGCCAGGAGAGATTGGTCCTTGGAGAAGGACATCATGCTCAGAAGGGTGGAGAGACAGTGCAGGAGAGGAAGACCCTGGATAAGATGGATTGATACAGTAACTGGGCGAATGAGAGTTGGTGTATTGGAATTAGTAAGACTGGCTCCGGACAGGGCAGGATTCAGAGCTGCTATACATAGGGTCATTATTGGTAGCAGGTGACTTGACAGCACATAACAACAACAATGTAATAAGGGTGAGGTATAGAAGGCCATCTGTCAAGGAGCTCACATGTCAAACTTCATTGTGACTTTTTAGCTTATAATTGGAGCTGTGGGATGTAGTCCGTAGGAAGTTGTGCTGCTAACTGAAAGGCAGTGTCACTGTCATAATTTGAAACCATCAACAGCTCTGAGGAAGAAAGGGCAATCTCCTCTTATGCGATTTATAGTCTCTGAAAACCCATGAATTCAGCTGTGAGCAGGTTCCAACTCATTGCCAATGAGTTGAATTGTTGATTTTGAGAATTTGATCTATGTATTGCCAGTCTGTATTGTCAAAATACTGAGGAGCAATGGTGTCTCTCTGGAGACTAAGGTGCATCTGATACAGGCTATAGACTTTGCAATCACTTGTTATGCATCAGAGAGTTGGACAATGACTACGGAGAATACAAGGAGAATTGATGCCTTTGAGCTGTGGTGCTGGAGAAGAGTACTGAGGGTATCATGGACTGCTAAGAAAACAAACAGGTTCATCCTGGAAAGGGTTAAACCTGGCTGCTCCTTGGAGGCAAGGATTCTGAGGCTTCGTCTGACATACTTTGGACATGTTGTAAGGAGGGACAGGTCCTTGGAGAGGGATATGCTTGGGAGGGTGGAGGGACGCTGCAGGAGGGGAAAGCCCTCTATGAGGTGGATTGATTTAATGACTTGGGGTAATAGGGATGGACGTGTTGGAGACAGTGCATTTGGCACAGGACAGAGCAGAATTTAGGGCTGTTGTACATAGGGTTGTTGTGAGTTGCAAGCAACTTGATGGCACATAGCAACAAAAACAACATTGTCAGTCAGAGTTTTCAACTGTAGAAGTTGGAAACGTCTACAGGGTCTTGGTGATGGTGTTATGTGCTATCAAGTTGGAACTAACTCATAACTGATTCTCCAGGGGGTTTTCAGAGGCTGTAAATCATACAAGGGAAGACTGCCCGTTTTTCTCCTGTGGAAGCTGGTGGATTGGAATCACCTGTCTTTGGGTTGGCAGAGAAACTCTTTACCTGCTAGACCACCAGAGCGTCCAAACTACCAGGGTATAGTCTGACAATTTAAATAATGTAAATAATTTTAAAGTACATTTAGTATATTTATTTTCAAAGAGTAAAGGGTATCTACCTATTCTATGACTTATGTATATGTGAGAGGCTACTTTTGATACACTGTTTTAATTTTACTTTTATTTAGTTTTTATTTTCTTCTGCTTTATTTGCATTTTATTTTCTCTGTTTTTCTAGTTGTCTAAGTTTGGAGCTTAGATCACTAATTTTAGATTTTTCTTTTTCACTGATACAGTCAATACTCTTTATTTCTAAGTACAGCTTTTGCTGCTGCAACTCACAAACTTTATTTTCATTTAATTCAAGACATTTCATGATATGAAATATATGTCCTTTGACATATATTTTTAGAAGAACATTATTTAGTCATTAAATATTTTGATATTTTCTAGCTATCTTTCTGTGATTGATTTACAGTTTAATGCCATTGTGATTTGAGAGCATATTGGTATGATTTCTTTAAAATTTGCTTGACACCCCAGATATATATAGTATACCTTAGTAAATGTTCCATTTGAATTTGTGAAGAAAGTATAGCTTGCTGCTATTGGATAAAGCATTTTTAAAGTGTTATTTAGGTAGGATTGATGATTAATATATTCAATGTATGGGTGTATAATTGTGTCAACTTTGTCTTCACCAGTGCTTCTGTTGGAAACATTATACCTGTTATAGCTACAAGTTTTTAAATTTCTTGAGTTCCCATAACATGTCACAGAGGATTTTTGGTTATTGTAAATCATACTCTGTACATGTCTTAACAGTCTTAAAGGAGAATTAACTCCTTGGAGACAGGAACTTTGCTTGGATAATCACTCTCTGCACATTTTTCCATTCTAAATAAATGGAAATTTTAGATAACATCCCCATTTTGCAGGTAGTAGAGAATTACTTATAATGTTACCAGTTCACCTGA